TCTACACATCACACCTTCTCTCTTTCCCAGTGCCTCCCTCCTCCTCTTCTAAATTATTTAACTTTTCATGATTTCTTCCTTTTTCTTCTTTTTTCATGTTTTTTCTACCCAAAGTCAAAATTATCGAGGAAGGAGGGTGAGACCATACCCCTGGTTAGTGAAAAGGAAATCGTTGTATTTTATTCTTTCCCCCTATTAACCCCATTTTCCCCGGTTTTATGGGTCAGTCATATACCAGGTCCGGTGGTTGTCCCTTATGCACCAGACAGCCTCCAGTATTTTACTTCCTGGAGCAGTGGCAAGCTTGTCCCAGTGTAGAAGTTAAAGCAACTCCATCTTGGATGCTAATCCAGCATGCTGGCTTCTGATTAACCCCAGGTCTTAGAAGCCCTCTGAGATTTCCAGTGTATCTGCTGTTCTTTGTTTAAGAGCATGTACTTACCATAAGTGCTGCCCTTAGGTTAAAGCAGCCTTGATATTACCAGGCTTCGGTTGTCCCTTTTCAGTCACGTAGACCCTTTCCGTATGGTATATAAGCCCTGGGTCTGAAGGAAGAATGGCCTGGGTATCCACTATCTCATCTCACCACTGCCCAAGACAGTCATGGCTACTGTTCATGAGTCCCTACTATAAATTTAGAAGCTGAATTGGTCAGCCTCTCTTTGTCCTCTTGGCTTCCTCAGACGTCAGGGGAAGGTTTGCGTATGCCTGCCTGCTGCAGACCACTTTGACCTCACTTAAACTTAGCTCTGACTTTGGAAGAGCTGCTGAAAGTAAGACCAGAAGAGAGGCATTGTGCATGCCTTGTTAAGAGAGATGGTAAGAAGCGAAGAGTTTCTTACAAGGAAGAAGCTCCTGAGAATGAAGTGGAATTATGTCACTTTACCTTGACTTTCAACCCCAGGTAAACTAACAATCAGATTGCCTTCGGTGTTTAGAGCCTTGCTGTTTTCATATACATTATAATCATTCTCACAACAATATGGCATCATGGAGAAAAAGGGAGGAGTATTACAATCTCTTTCTGCCCTTCCACTTACTGCTGTGAGTGTGGGACTCTGAGCAAGTTCATTTTGCTGGGCCTCAGGTACCTCATTGTGAAATGGGAATGACTGTGGGGAAGATTAAGTGAAGTAACATAATTTTTCACCCTTCTTAAAATCCGTGCATTTGCCGTGGGCTCAGGGTTCTATAACAGGAATGGACAAAGCCGTAGAAGAAATAAGCCAGCTCTTTCCAGCATGTCACTTTAACTTGGAAATCGATGGTGATGGAGTGGGAGTGTTTTCTTAGGTGAATTAAAGCAGATATATTATATGATTTCTACATTTCCTTTTAAAGAAAACTTAGTACATTAAAGAAATGGCATGCTTGGCATGGGCAATTTTGAGTCCTATCCTTGGAGCCCCTAGTATTCTCCTATTGCCGTAAGGAATGTTTCCATGGAAAAGTTTGAGAAGCACTGGTATGTGAAAGCATCTGGCATCGTCTGTGCCACGTAACATGTTCTCATTTAATTTCTCATGTCTGTTTATAAAGTATCCAACCGCATTTCCCCAGCACATGCTTAGTAACATCTCCTCTTGGATGTGGCTAGCATTGAACTCAACATGCATCCTCCACCCACCCCTCCTGCCCCCGATTCTCATCCCGTATTCCCTGCCTTAGTCATGGACAGCACTGTCCATGAGTTATGCAGATCAGGAACCAGGGCATCCTCCCTGGCCTGTGTCTTTTCTTCATATCCCTGTCCAACCTTTAACATGTAGTTGTGCCTACATTGCCACCTTCACATGTCTTGGGTGCATGTTTTGTCACTGTCGCCAGCATCTTAGTCTCAGCTGCCATCATCCCCTAGTCATTGGCCTCTTTCCAATCCATTCTCTATACTAACGTGAATGTTCCTCTTTCATATCCTCAGAGCTGACCATTTCTTCCCATTGCTCTTAGAATAACATGGTCCATGAGGCCTTTCATGGCCCAGCCTCCTACCCCATCTCAAACGTTCTCCACGTGATGCTCGCAGCTGCAGCCACACCAGCTTCCTACCTGTTCCTTCCTGGCACCATGATTTCTCCATCTGGAGCACACTGCTCTATCTGGAGCATTTCCCTCGGCCCCTACCCAGCCACCCTCACCTCAAAGATCTCTTCTTCAGAGAAGCTTTTTCCAACACCTTACTCAGGGACAGTATTTATCATATTCTCTGATAGGAACTTGTCCCTTTCCTTAAGGAGGACTTATCTCAGTTTGTGATCACACATTAAGTCATATCATTTGACGATGATCTGAATGTCACATGAGTCTATAAACTGACAGCAACGGCTGTCTCTTTGGTCACTATTATCTCCAGCCCCAGTCAGTGCCTTTGACCGTGGACAGCGGGTTCACAGTTGTTGATTGACAGCTGATGTCCAGATGGCTGAGTGCTTAGCCTGTGAACATCCACAGGGCTCCTAATAGCTGGGGGCCTTGGACCTCCAAGAACAGGGTTCTGCTCACCTCATTGCACATCTTCCTTACAGTGCTGTAGACCAGGTCTGTCCGCTTTCGTCTGTGGTTTAGAAAAGCACCTGGGAAACTCATTTTGTTTAGGAGAAATCTGCTTTATTTATGTGGTTAAGTATAGAAGGGGAAAGCATCTCTTTACATTCAGGTGGCTTTATGTCACCAAAATATCTATAACCCCATACTTAAAAACCCCCTGCTTCACCTTACCTATCCAGTTTTCTCCCACTGTGCTACTTAACAGATCTTTTCATTTCTCTTTTTCTTTTTTCTTTCTTTCTTTTTTTTTATTGAGTCAGAGTCTCACTGGGTCACCCAGGCTGAAGTGCAATGGTGCGATCTCACTAACTGCAACCTCCACCTCCCAGGTTCAAGCGATTCTCCTTCCTGTCTCAGCCTCCAGAATAGCTGGGACGACAGGCATGTCCCACCACACCCGACTAATTTTTGTATTTTGTGTAGCGACGGGGTTTCACCATGTTGACCAGGCTGGTCTCGACCTCTTGACCTCAAATGATCTGCCTGCCTCAGCCTCCCGAAGTGCTGGGATGACAGGAGTGAGCCACCGCGTCCAGCTGCTTAGCAGATCTTTTCAAATCAGGCAGAACTTTCTAACCTAACGGCATGCCCTATTCCTTCCCCAGCCCTTCGCCAAGTTCTATTCTGCTAAGAGGACATCTTTCTGCCTTCCTGCCACCATATCATGTCATCTGGTATGGCTCATAAAATTCCTGAACCCCCAAACAAACGGTTTCTATGTTTCCTACACCCAGCTTTCCCCTTTGTCCTTCTATCCAGTCCTCCTACCCTCACTTCTGGCTACAGAGTTATGTCTCTCTTTTAGGATTAATATGTTCTCCTGATACTCAGCTCTATGTGAGCACATCCTAACCTAACATTTATTTTTCTCCCTCATACCACTTAATTCATTATCATTTAAGAGAGGGAGCTAGAACATAACATTTTTAAAATAGTAAGTTCCAAAATATATAATTAGTGATTCTCAGCCAAGCCATGCCTGAGAATAACCCAGAGAGCTTTTTTTTTTTTTTTTTTTTTTTTTTTAAATCACAATGGAGATGTCCTAGTCCCACCCTGGACCTATGACATTGGAATGGCTGGGCTGAGTCATCAGTGTTTTCCCGGTGTGGCAAAGTGACTTGCCTAAGGTTACTCGACTCATGTCCCATAGCCAGAGGGTGACAGTTCCTAGTTCTTATTCATATTCTTTGGACTACATTCTGTTGAGGGCAGTGTGTGTTTAATCTCTATCTGAATTTGTCTGCATAAAATAGTTTCCTTATTTTATAGCTAGTGATTTCCCCCTGAATATGTTTCCAAAGACTCTGGAGGTTGAGTCAGTGTGTACCAGAGACTGCATCAGCTGTTGGAATAGCCTTCATTCCTTCCCTCCTTCCCACCGTGTCCCTCCTTCAAGCTACAGACCTGCCTCTTATGCAGCCCCTCCCTTGCCCACTCCTGGGCTGTTTCTACTTGATTTGTCCCCCAGCGTGCCCACCATTCCCTCTTTCCTCCTCCAGCCCCACCACCGCCTTCCCAAGCACTTGACCTAGGTGCGTGGCTGGGCCATGGCAGAGACACGCTGGGTAACTGAAGAGTTCCTTCTCCACTTGGCTGCTCCAGCCTGGAGCCCAAGAGAAAAAGACAGTAGACGGCCGTGCCACGGAAGCCACCTACCCTTAGACAGTATCGCCCCCAGACACTGGGAGGCCACACCAGAGAGCTTCTCTGAAGATATTTTCACATCGCCTTTTTTTTTTTTTTTTGCCAGTTTTATTTTATTTGGATGTTTATTTACAGCACAGGAATGCCTCTCCATTGGCCAGAATCTGTTATTGGCCAAAGGAAATGTCATTTAGTGAGTACTACTCCATACAATAGTGGACACTTTACTCATTATTTAAACTAGTTGTCACCATAATACAGTGATGTAGATCACATCGCTTTTAAAAAATAGTTGGGAAGCAGCGAAATCATCAGTGAGGCGTGACATCCATGAACTGGATCATGGAAACAGCAGTTCCTCCTTGGAGGAAGTACCATGCTCAAAAAAGTGCAGTAAGACTTTCATCCGAGGTGGCTTTTCTGGCTCTTAATCCCAGTTCCTTTACTCAGTAGTCATGTGCCTCTGACAAGTTGTTGAGCTGTCCTGTGCTACCGGTTCAACCATAAATTGGGGTTCAATTAATTAAGAAATGCCTACCTCTCATAGGTGGTAATTGGAAGATTATTTGGAAGCTTAAATGATATAATCTGATTACAAGGCTTATTATGATAGTATCAAAACATATTAACTGTTATGCCTCATTAGCTCACATTAGCACAGTTTACCTTGTGCTTTACACAGCGTATGTTACATTGTGTGATATAACATTGCCTGTACATTGCATTGCCATATGTATTAACACGGGATCCTTTAGACGACAGCTTCTTGACCTACTCACATCTGCCTCTCTGTCTTTTGTTTGTAGCCCTGGAAAGGAAAATATCTATGAGGCAAAGCAGAGAAGAGCTAATAAAGCGAGGAGTCTTGAAGGAAATCTACGATAAAGGTAAGAAGGGTTGGTCTGCCCTCCCTAGGCCACACAGTCACATGTGGAATCTGCGTGCTTATTGCTTGGAGTTGCATTTCATTTTGTGCCCCACCATATATCAGGATTTAAACCACTGAAACTCCAGAAGGTTCTGGAGAGAGAAGAGAATGCCGCAGACAGTGCTGGAGCTGTCAGGATTGTATAAGATGAGGGAAACAAAACTCCCCTTTTCTCAGCATCAAAATGAAACCACAGGAGGCTAAGCAAAATGCTGAGGCTGCAGGAATGATGCAGGCATGGGCTGTGAGTCTCCAAGTGTGCAGATACACCCGGCCTGGGTGGAGCCGACTGTTGAGGCCTTTTCAGCCACTAGGGATTCCCAAGACAAATGGGAGCAATCCATACTCACCTAGGATTTCCTTAACACGGTTTTTTTTTTGGTGGTCCATCTCCCCACAGTAGAATAAATTGAAGGAGATAAATTTGTGATACGTAACTATACATTTAAGATATTTTAAATGATGATTTTACAGCGCTTCAAATGCTCTATGACATTCCACAGATAATACCGTCTGTCCTTTGCTTATCGGATTATTGTCTTTAAATATGAATGTATGCAGTAGTCTACATGGCATATCAAGTATCCTTCACTCTTCTAAGAGCTTTGCAGTATTTCATTTTATTTTACATGTATGTGTGTGTGTATATATATATACATATATATACATATATACACATATATATACATATATACATATATACATAAAACAGAGCAAGACCCTGTCTCAAAAAATATATATAAACATATATTTTTAATATATTATATACATATTTTTAATACATATGTTTATATATATATTTTTGAGACAGGGTCTTGCTCTGTTGCCCAGGCTGGAGTGCAGTGGTGTGAACACGGCTCACTACAGCCTTGACCTCCCAGACTCAAAGGATCCTCTCGCCTTGGCCTCCTGAGTAGCTGAGACCACAGGTGTACATCACCACACCTAGCTAATTTTTGTATTTTTGTACAAAAAGGGTCTCACTACATTGCCCAGGCTGGTCTCAAACTCCTGGGCTCAAGCGATCTTCCCATCTCAGCCTCCCAAGGTGCTGGGATGGCAGGCGTGAGCCACCATGCCTGGCCTTTGCTATTTTAAATGGAACTTACATGTATGGCATTCTCTTCTTCCCCCCTCCTCCCTCTCTCCTCTCTCAGTCTGAAGACCACTCTCCCGCTGTTAGTGCTTTAAGTGAAATAACAGACTGTCACTTCCGATCTTGCTACGCTTATCAACAGTGATTGTCTATGTCAGGTTATCTTATTGATTCAGGCAGGTGTTACCTAGTAGGCCAGATGATTAAATCACGTAATATTCTACGTTAAGGATCCATCCTGATAGTCAAAAGTGCTCCTGTAATCTGCCGATCAGTCCATTTACCGTGTTTCTACAGGGCTTCTACGTGCCACATGTGTGTTCTTCTACAAGGCAGGTTGTATTTCTGGGTTCTAGCACATCTTTCAGATTTCACTGTTTTGTAGGTTGCTTCTTACTCCTCTGGTGCATCTGACTTTCTCCATTCCTGTCATGGGCCTTCCCCATGGTACTTTTGAAGTATCTTCTCTTAGTGCAAATTACTAGCCTGAAATGCAAGCACAAAGTGGCCTAGCTCTTGTGCTGCCCTGATGGCAAGGCGTAATGGAGGCAGAATGTGAAGGTGCACAATTCCAAACTACGTTCTGTCAGTATCAGAGCTTCCTGGGGCCAAGCAAGCCCGATGGTAAGCCAGCTTTATCCATCGACTTCCGTGTACGTCCATACCAAAATACCACTTTTTTGGTGCATTAAGGTCTCCAGGAGAAAAGAATCCCCTTTTGTCGCTTTTCTTCAATGTCTTGCTTCCTGTATGAGTCCCCAACCCTCCCTTGTTTTTTGTTTTTGTTTTTTCTTTGTTTTTGAGATGGAGCCTCCGTCGCCCCGGCTGGAGTGCAGTGATGCAATCTCGCTTTACTGCAACTTCCACCTCCCGGGTTCAAGTGATTCTCCTGCCCCAACCTCCTGAGTAGTTGGGACCACAGGTGTGCGCCATCACTCCTGGCTACTTTTTGATTTGTTTTGTTTTCCAGTAGACACGGGGTTTCACCTTGTTGGCCAGGCTGGTCTCAAACTCCTGACCTCAAGTGATCCACCTGCCTCAGCCTCCCAAAGTCCTGAGATTACAGGTGTGAACCATTGTACCCAGCCCATCCCTTGTTCTGACTTTAAGTCTTCATGCTTTATCATAAGCTCCTTTCACCATATTCACCCCCCAGGAGAGATGGAAAATGTCTAACTAAAAATATATAACAAGCACCCAAGTGATTAAATAACTATTATTGTTACAGCTAAAACTTGTTCAGATCCAGTTAAACAGTCCCTCTTCTCCCTCAGGAATATTCCGAAGTAGAGAATACATCTACTGTAGCATTTATTATTTCCATTACATCTAATAACTGGGTTAAGAGTTGCCTAAGTGACTTCCTGACTTAATAAAAAGAAGTCACAGACTGTTGGAGCAAAAGCCTCATTTTATAGGGAAAGAAACAGAGGGTCCCTGAGGCCGGAGGGTCTCTGAGCCTGCTCTCAAGGAACTCCTGACTGCTGGCACCCCAAGGCCACACCAACAGTCTGCAGTTTCCCGAGAGCAGGCGACGGGCCTCCGTCACACTAGCGTCTTTCTCCAACAGCAGACATGGAGCTAACACAGGACTTGCACTCAATAAGTGGCTTACGCCTGTAATCTCAACACTTTGGGAGGCCAAGATGGGTGGATCACTTGAGGTCAGGAGTTCGAGACCAGCCTGGCCAACATGGTGACACTCCATCTCTACTAAAAATACAAAAATTAGTCAGGCATGGTGGCTGTAGCCCCAGCTACTCGGGAGCCTGAGGCAGGAGAATCACTTGAACCTAGGAGGTGGAGGTTGCAGTGAGCCAAGATGGCACATTGTACTCTGGCCTGGGCAACAGAGCAAGACTCTGTCTCAAAAAAGGAAATAAATAAATAAAGGCCAGGCACAATGGCTCATGCTGTAATCCCAGCACTTCGCGAGGCTGAGGTGGGGGTGGATCACTTGAGGTTGAGAGTTCGAAACCAGCCTGACCAACATGAAGAAACCAGGTCTCTACTAAAAATACAAAATTAGCTGGGCATGGTGGCACATGCCTATAATCCCAGCTACTTGGGAGGCTGAGGCAAGAGACTCACTTGAACCCTGGAGACGGAGGTTGCAGTGAGCCAAGATCACACCATTGCACTCCATCCTGGGCAACAAGAGTGAAACTCCATCTCAAAAAATAAAAATAGATAGATAGATAGTTGCAGAGCGAAGGAGCAGTCTAGTCCCCACCTCTCACCTGTCACCACAACCTCCTGTTTTACTTTGATTCTTGAACTTACTGCTGTCTCCTCTTTCTGTTGTTTGTTGACTGACTTTCCTCAGTAGCCCATAAACTATAGGAGAGCAGAGGCTTCAGAGGCTGGGATTCCCCAAACCCCAAATCATGTCTGATGTAGTTGAGATGCAAAAAAATGTTTACTGTTTGGATGATGGGAAGAGGAGAAGAGATGGGCTAAAATGAAAACTTGGTTGCACATAGTAGTGTATAGATTTGTGTTTTCTGTGGGATTTTCTGACAAAAGCATTCATTTTATATCACTGTGGATATTAATCTCATTGCCTCATATTATAGTCTATCTACAGTCAGGAGCATGAGCCCTGGAATCAGATTCAATTCTAGTCCCGCTGTTGACTAGCTGTGCAACTTTAGTCACGTTGCTTAACTTCTCTGTGCTGCTTTTTCTTTATCTGAAAGTGTGGGTGATGTTGTGATGCAGTACAGCAGATAGCACCTATGAAATAGAACAGTGACTTTTCTTGTAACTGTGACTTTATAGCAACCTATAAATTCTCTCAATCAGGGTTAACGTGCTGTGATTATTATTAGTCTCATCATCATCGTCGTTGTCCTTTATATTTTTTTCAAGCTCTTTATGTGCCTTACCCTGGGTGACCTTGTCAACAGGCCCAAGAATTCAGAAGGGTGAACATCACTGTTCCCTGTTGTCTGAGGATTAAAAAGGCACAAAGATCCGTGACCTCCTCAGAATGGCCTTACTGTCGGTGCCCACCCAGACCCCAGCCTTCTGTAGCCAAATTCAGTTCCACCTGCCTTTCCTCTGAGCCTCTAAGCAAGTCTTTTCCTGTCATTTGTTCTTTCCTTTCTGTAACATCATTCTTCTTGCAGTATCTGAGATTCTGGTAGGTAAACGAAATAAAATGTTATTGTTGCAACGTGATGAACAGCAAATGGCAAAGAGACTTTTTCAGGTTGTTCGTTTCAAGGGTAAATCTCATAGGTTTGGAGCAATCGTTCCCTGTTGCCTGGCTGGTAATTCCTCAATCGTTCCCTATTGCCTGGCTGGTAATTCCTCATTTTGCACCACTTCCTTGCGTTAGCGCATTTGACTCTAGTGAGTTACCGGCAGCAAAATCGTTTCCATCAGAGACGCATGGATCCTGACAGCTGCCGAGTTGATTTGTAATGACTATGTCAGCCTGTCCCCCTGCGTGCAGCCTCCAGGCCCCGCCTCTGTTTGTACTGCCATTATGCTGTGTGTGTGCACGATACTACTAATGTGGTGGAAAACAATTTGTTCTCTTTCGTAGGTAAGATTTTTCTCTTCCAGTGCTTTTTACATTATTGATTTTGTTTGATAATGCCCCACTTGTTCATATAAACCATGAAAATCAACTGTAGTGATTTGAGAGTCATAATTATTTGGGCAGGGTACATATAGAATTAATGAGGCTTTATTACTCTAACGGTTCTCAGAATTCTTTCCATTTTTTTTTTTGTTGTTGTTGTTGTTGTTGTTGGGTTAATATCCCAAACTGGACAATGAATTTAATTCAGGCAAAATGAGAGCTTGCGTCTAAGAGAAATAATCTCAAATGTCTATTGAACTAGCACAGAGAT